TCCCTACAACCCAATATATAAAACATTTCATAAACAGCATGAATCAAAAAACTGAAAGAGAATAACTGCAATAAAATAAACTTTTGCCTCATTTCATACTTCATTGAGTTCCTGCTGTTCGAACACATTGCTGTATTCACTATATATATTTTATTAATATTTTATAGTTGTCTTACAATAGTCTTGGGACAAAGAAACTAGATTGCTTTAAGAAGCATAATGCAAATTATTTATTAAAATTTTTTGCACATGAGAACACAAACTTTGTTTATAGCTTTAGCAATCCTGCAGATTAAAGTCAGGATTTAAGTTAATTTGGGATTTAAATCTATTGCATATAACAATAATAAATTATTTTAATGGTCATTTCTAATTATAGGCTAGAGGATACCCAAAAGGAGAAAAGGAAAGAAGTCTAAATTTTGAAGAATTAAAAGATTGGGGCCCAAAAAATGTCATGAAGATGAGTACACCCACTGGCAACAAAATGCCACACTTAGCAGCCAACTTGCCATTGAGATTTGGGAGGACCACAGAAGAAGAAAGAAGTTTCAGGACAATGGCCAACCTGCCTCTGAGATTTGGAAGGAACATGGAGGTGAGCATTTCAAGACATGTTCCTAATCTTCCCCAAAGGTTTGGGAGAATGACAACAACCAGTGACACTAAAATACTTCGTGATTTGCTTCAACCATCCACGTATTCTCTGTCTGCCAATGAGTTACTTTACTCCAAGACCTGCCAGCACCAAAAACTCCAGAATCCTGACCAGAAACAACCAAGGTAAATAACTGAAAACCAAAGTGCATAGGGAGTCATGTGGTCCAGAAATTTAAAAAAAAAAAAAAAAAAAAGGACTACTTATTTTCATAATAAGTTTATTAAAAAGTTTCTTAAAAGGAGAATGGCAAAGACACAAGAAAATAATTATCTGTACATTGAGAAGTATAGAAAGCTAGGTATAACAAGCAGGATTATTGGTAAAAATATAATGAGATGGCTTCCCCTACACCACACATGGGTATCAATCTCATTGCCATGCAGTAAGACCATGTAATCACAAAGTTGGGAAATTAAGCTTATGAAATATTGTCTGACATTTGACCTCTCTAATATAAAGGTCAAATGAAGTTGTTCTCAATTACAAAAGAAACTATCTCAATAACTCAAGTCTCAAATGCAGAAGGCTTTCTTCCCCAACTTTATTATATTTTTTAAAAGATTTTTGATATAGAGTATGTGGACTTACCAGAGAGTCAGAAAGCAAGAAGTCACCCCCAAGTGGGGGATGGCCACGCCACAATCTCTTCTCCTCCATTTTCCTCTTGGGATCTTGGACACACACACACACACACACACACACACGCACACACACATATCGGCCCTGCATGAGTGTTAAGCCACCAGGTCTGGGACTCGAACCACAGTCAACTACATGGGAGTTCAGCAATGTAACCATTACGTGATCTGCTTGTCACCTTCCCCAGCTTTAAATCAAAGTTCTTTGTTTCTATGTTTTGTTTTGTTTTGTTTTTTTCTGAATCCCAAACACAGATGGGTGGGAGGAGAAAAGGCATGTACAGGCAAAAGGAAGGATGTGAGCAAAGGCACTGAAGTGAAGTAGGCCAAGAACAGCTGAGGTTCAGTTTGCCAAGAGACACAAGCATACAAACAGGAGTGAAAAAAGGCTAGATGTAAAGAGTAAGGACAGAGAATACAGACATTACAGGCCAAACAGACTTTGACCATAACTCATGAGGAAAGGGACAGCCACTAACATTTTTGCTGAGGTTCTGGGATAGTATACAATGGTAGAATTTGGCAACTAACCAATTGTTGGGAATAAGGCAGTGGTGGGGGAGACAGAGGAATCAATGGTACATTTTTGAGCTTCAGTGCCCATTACAAATTCAGCATCCTATCAGTATCACTCATTTCAACTGCAACACAATTCAATTCAACATAATTAGGCAACTAGGATTATTGCTCTTTTTTTAATATGTGCTTGCATGCCATTGTTTTGGTGGATAAGAATATTTTGTATTGCTTACATTTTAGGAGACTGGTGTTCAAGAAAATAGATGATGCAGAACTGAAAGAAGAAAAATAAGAAATCTGAGTCTTGTCCTTAAAGATGGCATAAAGTTATGGTCTATAATCTACAATGAAGACAACAAGAAAGAGTGCCTGCAATTATGTGATGGGTTATGTAGAATGGACAGCAATGTTTTCTTGTCAGCAGTACAGCTAGTACCTTAAGATTTATATAAAAAGAAAAATTTCAAGAATATCTGTTATGTAAAGTTGTAATAATCTCTGACTTAAAAATAGCATTGCAAATGCATAGGCTCTGGTAAGGTAGAAACAGTAAGAGAGAGAGAAAGCAACTGAAGTTACATCAATAGCCTATGTAAAAATCAAGGGCACCAACTACACTTAATAAAAAATCAAATAGAACAGTGGCCTAACAACTATTACAATGAAAATTAAATAATTTAACAGAATAACATGGTTAAAAAATAAGTGAACAAAGATAACAAATCAATTTTTTTTTAGTTACCAAAGCGTACATGTGTTCCCTAGAGAAAGAGACAGACAAAGCAACTCCCCATGGGGTGTGCTCATGCAACAATCCCTTTTCCTTCATTTCTCCTTCCTATTGGGGTTTGGGGCACACTCACACATGTATTTGGTGTGTTCTTCAAGCCACCGAGCTAAAGAGTCAAACCAAGGTTGACCAGGTAGGTTCTGGCTCCCTTGACCATTAAGCTATACAGTCAGCCCAACAAATAACTTATACACATGTTTTTAGACATCATTTTTTCCCATTATGTGAATTGTTAGTGAATCTATGATAGACTGAAATTTAAAACCCGACATTTGTCTGTGTAACAATATAAGATAAACTCTTAGATATTAGGAAGATAAAAGAAGGGCAACTATTAATTATCTCTTTTAGTGTCTCCAGGTCTATCTAAGACATTTACTTCTGTTGTATCTTTTCTCATTTAACAATTCAAGTTTTTGCTTTGCAGAAAAAAACCTGGCCACTGTTGAACTAACAATTTATAAACTCAGTACACTGTAACACAAATACACAGCAATATTTCAAGAATATCTGTTATGTAAAGTTGTAATAATCTCTGACTTAAAAATAGCATTGCAAATGCATAGGCTCTGGTAAGGTAGAAACAGTAAGAGAGAGAGAAAGCAACTGAAGTTACATCAATAGCCTATGTAAAAATCAAGGGCACCAACTACACTTAATAAAAAATCAAATAGAACAGTGGCCTAACAACTATTACAATGAAAATTAAATAATTTAACAGAATAACATGGTTAAAAAATAAGTGAACAAAGATAACAAATCAATTTTTTTTTAGTTACCAAAGCGTACATGTGTTCCCTAGAGAAAGAGACAGACAAAGCAACTCCCCATGGGGTGTGCTCATGCAACAATCCCTTTTCCTTCATTTCTCCTTCCTATTGGGGTTTGGGGCACACTCACACATGTATTTGGTGTGTTCTTCAAGCCACCGAGCTAAAGAGTCAAACCAAGGTTGACCAGGTAGGTTCTGGCTCCCTTGACCATTAAGCTATACAGTCAGCCCAACAAATAACTTATACACATGTTTTTAGACATCATTTTTTCCCATTATGTGAATTGTTAGTGAATCTATGATAGACTGAAATTTAAAACCCGACATTTGTCTGTGTAACAATATAAGATAAACTCTTAGATATTAGGAAGATAAAAGAAGGGCAACTATTAATTATCTCTTTTAGTGTCTCCAGGTCTATCTAAGACATTTACTTCTGTTGTATCTTTTCTCATTTAACAATTCAAGTTTTTGCTTTGCAGAAAAAAACCTGGCCACTGTTGAACTAACAATTTATAAACTCAGTACACTGTAACACAAATACACAGCAATTCAACTCTAGTACTAAGAATATGAAGTACTTAATCAAATATAACTGCTTTATTGAACAGTCTCAATTCCATAGGGTGCACATAGGAAATAGTTTTATTTTTCTCCCATAGTGTCCTGAGCTGTGTCATGTTGAATCTCCCTCCCCTGCTGGGTAGAGATCCCTTACTAATACCCTAGACAGATTCCATAACTTCCTCAGTCACTTCTTGATATTAAAAAATTCTGTCAAGTCCCGTTGGAGACACCAACCTCATGTCCAAAGCAAAATGTCCCCTCCCATAACACTGACTTGACTGGTGACTTAAAGACCTGATGTGGGAAAGGGGCAGGGTCTGCTCTTTCTCTCCTTTTGCCCTTTCTCACATAGGGTGGTGAGAAGGAATCTGTAGGGTTTGGAAAGGAATCTCCCCTTCTGTCTTCTCCAGAGCGTACAGTTGGACAAGTAAGTGGTGGAGATGGGAGTCAGGAATAGCTGCCTCACTCTCTTTTATAAACTTGCTGCTTCTTCAAGGCTTATTTGGGAAGACTTTTAGGGGCCTTCGCTTGGGACCTGGATGCTTCTTAATCTTTTCCAAATCCTCTCATTTCATCTGTATTCTCCATAGCCTCTTACTATCAGAAAGAAAGGCTCAAGCCAGTTACCTTCCCAGCATCCACTCACACAGAAATGCAGACATCCTAGTCATGCCAAGAGCAAGACTACAGGTTGCCCCTCCACTCTCTCCCACCTTCCCCATCTCCCTTTGTCTCTGTTTAAGAGCAGAGAGAGAGATCAGTAAGTCTACTGCCTATTTAAACAGCTAATCAGAAATGGCATGCCAGTGCACCCCCTACAACAGCACTCCATGATTGATTTTCTAGGAACCTGTCTTACTTAGCTTCAGTGGGGAGAGGCAGCTACAGCAGGCCCCCAGCAGGCCACACTCTGGTAATTACCCATCTGAGAGGGGTACAGGTCAAGGCAGGGCTGCTGTAATTCGCCATCTCTTAGCAAACCATAAAGAGGTGTCTGGTTCCCATCCTCCATGATTTTCTTTATAATGTTAGATTTTTAGCACCCCCACACCTTCAGACCTGGTCCCTGGACCCCAATTCTGAGCAACAGAGAAAGTATCATGCAACATTCTGCTACATTCATAAATACACAAAAGCTACTTGATTCCCTGACAGGGAAATGTGTCATGGAACATGGGTTTTTTACCTACATCCCTGAGTTTAAGGAAAATGTTAAGCAAAGAAACAGGTATCAGCTGTCCCCTTCTCTACTTGGTTTACTTTGGTTTTGCCCATACTAGTCCCTTGACCAGCTCCAACAAGAAGCCCTTCACATAAGGCGAGTCTGCAATTTTGCTGTGTATTTGTAGGATCATGAGGAGAAGATCATACTGTACAGCGCTTCACTGTGAAAATCTCCATTAGACAGGCCTCTTCTCCCATCTCTCACTCACGGGACCACCAGAAGGATCCCCCCCTCTTCTGACCTCTGTAGCTCAGTGCTCACTCCAGCTTGGCTTCACGGATATATGACTCATGCAGTCACACAGGGGCCCATGCTTGTTTAAATGTTCTGCCATTGCTGCCTTGGAATTCTTAATAATTTTGAACAAGGGACCCCACATTGTATCTGGCACTAGGTCCCACATACTACATAGAATATCCTGCTTCTCCCAAACTCACCACCGTCCAGTGTTTCCCTGTGCTTATTAATCAGAGAAGTTTACATTTTCTATATAAAACTCCAGGGCTAGCCTGTCACACAGACCTGGAAGGTCTACTTCTATCCTACAGTGGGTATAAAATATAACTGCGTGACTCGTGAGGTATGGGCAAGTGCAAATTATTTTTTGTGTCCCACTTCCCCTTTAAAATATAAGAGATGGGGAAGGAGGTGTGCAGAAATGCTCCCTGGCCATTGGTGAGAACTTGGCCAGATGCCATGAACTTCACTGATGCCTTTAAGTTATGTGGAACTTTGGCCTCGCAAAGTGAAAAACACACAGCCTCAATTCCACCAAAGTCAACATTTCAATCTACATTCAACTATTTGTTCATTCGTTTTCCACTTTTTCCATGCTGAGGCCCAAGTTCAGAGATAGGAATATGGTCAACTTCTCTGTTCCAGCCTTGCCTGCTTCCCCTCTCTCTCTGGATGCCCTTTTTGACTCCACAAGAAGAGAAGGGAATTGGGGATAAAAGGCATGGATGGGGGCAGGACAGTCTTCACTGGCTAGATGAACTTATTTTTGAAACCCAAAAGATGGTACCGCTGACCACTGTTGGGCCTCTCCCTACAATTCTGTCATTTTCTGTGATACCTCTCACTCCCTGGGCTGGCCTCGGCCTTTAGGCCTAGGACCCTGGGCCACACTCCATACCTGTACATTTCCCTTCCTTGAGTAGAACTTGAAACAGCCCCTCAAATCTCTCTCCACACAGCCTCTATCTGTTCATGCACGCTCACCCTCCACACCTACGCCAGGTCCCAACATGACTCCTCTGCCTGCTGCCCTGGCATCCTTAGTATTCTTGCCCTTTGTTTCTCCCAAACACATGGAACACACTTCCCCAGCATATGAAACCCTTCCCTGAGGAAGAGCAAGAAACCCAAAATCCCCAAGTTCTGGCCATGGGAAGTGGCTGTTCATAGCAAGGTAACAACTCTCTCCAGAGACATCTCTTCACAAACCTAAAACCAATCCTTTTTATAGTCTCCAAGTAGATGCCGAGTGAGCAACTGAACAGGTGGAAGAACCAGTTTCTAACCACTTCCCTCAAGAAGTCTGCAAATTGTGATCCGGCCTTGGAATTTTACATCTATTAGATTTTGCTGTTTTGCTTAAACTTCACTTTTGACACCCTTTGCTACAAAGATGCATCATCTCTTATGAGAAATGCTCATGGCTACTAAAATGATGTTTTTTTTCTGAATCATTACCCATACAGGCGCATTTCTGGGAAGAGTGTTTGTGGTTCTTAGGTAGATTCTCAAGAGGTTTGTGACCTCATAAAGTTTAAGAATTGCAGCAGTAAGAGATTATTCCTAAAATAACTTTAAGTTAATATCTAATTCCATTTATGGATGAGTACTGATATCTGATTGGCCATTTAAGTGCTGAAAACAATGCCAAAATGATCAGAATCACTCAAATGATTTAGCCTGACTTTCTTCCAAACAGAA